TAGACAGATTTCTCAACGTCTTTCTAACGGCTTATTTGTGAACAGCTTTTAATAAATTGTTTTTTCAAGTTTTTCTAAATGACATTTTTGGACGTTTTTCGAACTTTTTCCTGATTTGCAGGTACCAATCCCTCTGTACTTTATGACACATCCCTACTTCTGTTTCTATCACACGATCTCCAACATGTTATTGCGGCGGCTACGACATGCAATCTCCACTGTTGGATCACGATGTACTCGATGGGTAATCCAAGCACTCTTCATCATCGTGCTGTCCTATATTACAGCAGCTATGGAGGCCATCACCATAGCAAATGTGAGTTTTTTTTAAATGTATATAACTGTGTTACTATTAAGTAGTATTGAGTTATTAACTAATAAATAATTATCTAAGATAGGAATTAATTTTTCTGGCAAAAGTTTTTTTTTTTGTTTTTTTTTTTGAAACTCTCAGAAACGTCAATAGATTCCATATTGATCAATTTAATCAGGAAACTGCCATGCTAAAAAACTGACAGGGAGGATGGAAGCATGTCTGTATGGAGCCAAGAATGTGGCGTAAGTTCTTTTTTGTTTTTCTCTTTTTTTCTCCCCTTTCAAACCTTGATTCATTCAGCATGGGTGTGCCATTTTCCTTTTCCTGTATTTTTCTCATCTTTTTCCGCTCCTCTCTTGTCCTCTTTTCTCCTCTCTTCTCCTCCCCTCCCCTTCTCCTCTCTCTTCTCCTCTCCTCCTTCCTCGATGTCTCTCTGCTCCCGTTGAGATTGACTGCTCCATGGAATTCGGTGCCCACACATTCTTTCTTTTTCTTTGATCATGGTGATGATTGATTTATTTGAATAAATTGAATTTGTTTTTTTCTGCTAACAGCTGCAGCATACTGTCCTTCCTAAGATATCCCCCCTACCTTCTTCGCCCAAATACAACGCATGTACGCATTGTACGGTCATTATACACCTATAATAACCGTGCGTGGTCTTCGGGTGAAGAAGGTAGCGCTAGTACATGTCCTCCATCGCTTGCTAAAGGGTTGGGGCTTATGATCCCTGGCCGAGCAGGCCTAGTGGTGGGTTAGCAGCCGCAATTCGCCACATAAGAGGAGACGGGAGGTGGTTTAGGGGGGTTAAAAAGAGTTTAATATGGAGCTGGGAGAAAACGTTGAGGAGGTGAAACAGGCGATGAGTGAAGTCTTTGAGAATCCCAAGAGCTCAGTCGCTGGCTCGTGTTAGCGGCGATATAATGAGAGCATACTCGTTTGGTGAAAATGTCAAACCCGACAGACAAACACTTCGCCGGTTTGAGCGAGGCGGGAGTATTGGGACCACATTTAGGCGAATATATATATATATATATATATATCAACAACACTTAGCCATTGTCCATGTGGACAAAACATCACACAATTTGGCAGTTTGCTGCAAGAATTGGTATCTGTGTCATCTCTCTACCCATTTGGACAGTCCCACTTATACTCGTCCTCAAGAGTCGGTTGCCGATGTCTTTGACCACCATACAGTGTGGAATCACCATTGGGGTTACACTCACACTGATACCCTACCTTACCTTTACTGTGTACTCAAAGCTCACATTGTCAAGTCTCCTCCAGCTCTTCGCAGCATTCTTGGAGTCACATCACAAAATAACAGTGTTGTTCCCCCGGGTGCTCGCCCTCGTCCACAATTTGCACCATTCATGAACGGCCTCCTTACGAACCCATGGCTAGCACAACGACTACTTCGTCGTATCTCAGCGCTGCTTTGCAAGGAGTGATCTCTACTCTTCATGAGAAAGACATTGAGCTCTATCAACAGGTTGGTGTTCGACGGTGCTGGATCGTTCGGAGTGTTGATGAAGTGGCGATTGACCTGAAAAACAATGCATCGTCTCTTCGTGGCCTCTCTCATCGCACTGTTGATTTTACCACAATGTACACCAACCTTCCTCATGACCGCATTTTGCATAATGTGGCAAAAGTTGTTGATGAAGCTCATGCTTATGCCCTTCGGCAAGCTCACACGCATTCACGTTGCGTTGCCCTCAACATGGTTATTCGAGGACCTAGTTGTGGCCAATGGACAACTGATTCAGGCCCGGATACCCTTTATGTTTCTCAGATTCTCCAACATCTTCGCTTTGTTGTACAAAACACTTTTCTATACACGAGAGATGGCACGCTTCGAAAACAAATTATCAGTATTCCAATGGGAGCGAATGCTGGCCCAGAAATTTCTAATCTAACGCTGTATTGGGATGAAGCACGCTTTGTCGATGACATTCGATCTTCAAGCTACTCAACAATATGCCTTCACCTATCGCCTCATTGATGATGTTCTTTCATGGGACAATTACCGCCTCCACCAGAACACTATGGGCTTGAGTGGAAGGATACTACAACTACAGATGGCTCCTGTACCTTTTGAAGTATGCATCTACGGGTCCGTTCCGATGGCTGCTTCACATGAGCGTCTTTGATAAAGCGGCTGCTTGGGACTTCCCTGTCATTTGTTATCCAAGTGCGACCTCCAACATCCCTTCCCATCAACCGGCTGGTGTGTTCACCGGGCAATTGACCATATTTGAACAAATCTGGCAGGACTTTCGAATTGCGGCAACAACACTTACTCGTCGTATGCTTTCGCATGGGCATTCCACACCAACCCTTGCTAAGGAGTGGACCTGCTACATGCGCTCTCGCCAACGTCGCTATCCTACACATGTGACGCGTCTCTCTCAGTGGTTCCGACGCATGTTGCGATGGTCCTTGTATCATCCAATTTCCTCTTCGCCCCCACTATGCTCTCGTCCTGCCCTTGCTTGTTCATCTGCTGCTACCGCAGTTTCCACTGCTGCAGTCTCCACTCCTGCAGTTTCCACTGCTGGAGTCTCCACTCCTGCAGTTTTCACTGTTGCAGTGTCCACTGTTGCGGTTTCCACTGCTGCAGTGTCCACTGTTGCGGTTTCCACTGCTGCAGTGTCCACTGCTGCAGTTTCCATTGCTCCAGTTTCCACTGCTCCAGTTTCCACTGCTGCAGTTTCTACTGCTGCGGTTTCCACTGCTGCAGTTTTCAGTACAACAGTTTCCCTAACTGTAATTCCCCCTACTTTAGTTTTTACTGCTACAGCTTCTTGTCCTGCAGCTCCAATGCAAAGAACATCACAATCTCTCCGACGCTCACGTCATTTGCTCTGAGATCTTGCCCAATGAACCTCCCTCTCATCTTTGTCTGTGCTTGGCCGTAGACGACTGCGTTCCTCCTCACCACCCCCATCTCCTCCACGGTCTCGCCTGCAAACAGACTCTCCAGTTTCCATTGTTCCCATTTTTCCATTTGCGTTGCTAGGTACCACTTCAGGTTCTTGTTTGCAACACCATTACTCCTCTTGTTGTGTATCACCGACGACATCTGCGACATCGTCACTTGTCCGGGGATCAACAACCTGTTTCTTTGTCTGCCCCGATTCTCTCTGTGCCTCCTCCACAGGTTGTTGCGGTTCCTTTGTTTCAAACGACAATATCCGCTCCTGTGCCTCCTGCAGACAGTCCAGCTGCCTGCAGGCAGCCACCAGTCCCTACTCAGGATGCAGTCGCTGCCCGGAGTACACTCCTGACTCCAGGTACAGTCCCTACTCAGGATGCAGCCCTGAACGTTTAGGGATTGGAACATGATCTGCCCGGATTGCAGTTGACCCCACAAGGCGTAGACCACATGGGGGATCTGCAAATGCCTGACCAGCATTGTTCGGATGAACCACAATTTTGTGCTCCGCCACACGCAGACCACATGGGTGATCTGCAAATGACTGACCAGCAAACAACCCAACACGGTTTGGGCTTGCAACACCATCTAGGTGATCTGCAAATTGTTGGCCAGCATCCAACAAACCAGCCTGAGAACCTCACCAATCTTTGTGGTCTGACAACAACTAATATCTGTCTTCGCATTCTCCATCGCCCGTTTTATACACCATCAGACTTCCTTGCAATCGCCTTTCAGCTTGATGCCGATCTTCCCCAACGACAGCCAAAGGATTGTAATTATACCAGCGAACGAGGCTTTATCGTTGCTGTCGTACAAGTAGCAATGAGGGACCATCAACTTGAACTACGCAATGCTCGAGCAGGTGAGTGGTTTAATCCTCCATCCCACATCTCTGCCTGCATTGTGCACCGGCCTGGCCATTACATGGCCATTGTACATGCCTCTGACCACTGGGAGCTGTGGGACAACGGCACCATGGTCCATCCCATGATTGATGTCACTGATTTTTTACAAAATGATGTTGTTTTCTTGCCACAACCAACCGTCCGCAATCTCTTTTATGTCGAAGATCATTCCTCTGGCACCGTGCTGCAGCAAGACAATGTACCAACACTCTGTGACCTTCTCCTTTGCACAACCACAAACACTGTTACACTTGGCTGTAGCCGCCATCGTCTCTGTCACAATCACTACAATGACATGGTTTCTGCATCCATGTGTGCAGAGGACTGTCCCACCGTTCCTGACTGCAGGCACCCTCCGCATCCGGACACTATATGTCCATTTTGCGGCCATGGGGGCTATACTGAATGCATGCTCTTTTGTGGTGACCGTTCTTCTTTCATTTTGGCCTGCAATCGACGCCATTTGTCGGGGGTGTATGGCGGGCATGCTCAATGCCACCCGTCGTGGCGATTGTTGCACTGAGAATGCTCAGCTAGGTCTTCCATGTGTTCATCCACGTCATGCTTACAATGTATGTCCTCTCTGTCGTCAAGAACAGACTCATTCTTGAGCCTTTTCTTATCCTCTTTTGCCTTCATCCTGACTCCACACTCCATACTTTACCTTACTTTCCCTTTATCGTTCTTTGTTTGTCTGCTCTCCATCTCTCCTCCTTGTGTTTATCCCCTCCCCCTTCGCTCTGCCTCTTTCTCACAGCGTACAAGTGGGCTGTTATGGCACACGGGGATGGGGGCAGCTCGCGCTCAACTTCATCAACGTGGTGAGCCTTGTACGTGAGAGGCACGGTGAAAGGGGAGTCAAAAGAAGAACGAGTAAAATGAATGGTTTCACTGTGCCCTTCATGTTTGTCTTGTTTTTTATTTTTTATTTATTTTTTATTTTTTGCTGTTTGTTTCGCAGATTGAGCTCTTTTAGTTCATAGTTATGTGACAATATATATATAACTTTATAGGTCAACGTGTCAGAAATTGCGAGTCTGAAAACAACACGGGTTCAATTCCCGTTAATCGCCTCTTGCATCCGAACTCTGTTGAGCCTAAATCCAGCCAAAGCTGGCGTCAAGACAGTTATTCATTCATTGACTGAAGTCAATCAATCCAAGTTAAGTGATTCAAACAACCACATAAAAGAGTGCGTTGGGTACATCATATTAAAAAAAAAAAAAAAATTGCTGAGACATGGGTCTCTGCAATACAATGTCCAGATAGCAGTTGTATATACTCGTCGACCTTCAGGCACACGATGTCCAAATCCCAATATCTCATACTCCTGCATCTTTGCAAGGAACCTCCACCAGAGAAACACAGATCACAACCTCCATGCTCTCTCTCTCTCTTTCTCTCTCTCTCTCTCTCTCTCTCTCTCTCTCTCTCTCTCTCTCTCTCTCTCTCTCTCTCTCTCTCCTTTCTTTCCTCTCTCTCTCTCTCTCTCTCTCTCTCTCTCTCTCTCTCTCTCTTTGAAAGCTGCTTTTTTGGTTTTTTTTTTTACGTTTTTTTTTNTCTCTCTCTCTCTCTCTCTCTCTCTCTCTCTCTCTCTCTCTCTCTCTTCACCAGCAACTCGGCTCCGTGACAGTGCTGGGAGATTTCTAAACATCCGTGAAGGGGAGTTGATTACAGCATCCTCGGATTCCTCTTATATGATCAAATTAATAATAATAATAAATAATGACAATTAAAATTCAAAATCTATAGTAATAATAATTTGAATTTAATACTAGTATCAGTGAAAGGCATGTTGCATCGCTGCTTGCAACTTAGTCTCCTGACTCTCCTCCCATAGCCATTTTGAGCGAGGAAGGGGGTCAGGTATGAGAAGGATGTGGAACAGTTCGATCTTTTTTTTTTTGTTTTGTTTTGTTTTTTGTTTGTGATCTTGGTATGTCGACTCTCTTGCTCAATTTATAATCATTTCACCGTTTCGATATTTTTAATACTTTATTACTTTGAATTGTTACGTTGTTATAGCAGTTTTGTTGGACCCAGTCCTCAGATGTTATCGGTGAAATTCACGTTGGCTGACCCATTGCCTGTCTGCTGTGCAGTTCCCTTATTATGACTTTGTTGATAGGTGGATGATGTATACAGTGGGATCACTGTTTTATGCCATGTACTTCTTCATCAGCTATCCGATGTACATCAGGTAGCAAGCCATTCTGCACCCTCCCTGTCACCCTCCCTGTCACCCTCCCTGTCACCCTCCCTCTTCTCCTTCGTCTGCTCTCTCTCTCTCTCTCTCTCTCTCTCTCTCTCTCTCTCTCTCTCTCTCTCTCTCTCTCTCTCTCTCTCTCTCTCTTTGTTTTGGTCTCTTTCTCTGTCTCTTCCTGTGTATCTGTCACTGTCTCTCTCTCTGGTCTGTCACTGTCTCTCTCTCTGTCTCTCTGTTTCCGTCTCTTTCTCTGTCTCGTCCTGTGTCTTTGTCTCTCTCGCTGTCCCTGTCTGTCTGTCTGTCTGTCCGTCCGTTCCTCCGTCCGCTGTTTGGTCGCTTCATCCGTCCATCGGTCAGTCATTCAGTCCGTCTGTTGTTCTGTCCGTCCGTCTGTCTCTCTGTTAGTCTCTCTGTCAGTCCGTCGGTCGACCGGTCAGTGGATTGATCAGTCGGTCTCTGTCTGTCTGTCTGTGTCTGTCTGTGTCTGTCTGTGTCTGTCTGTGTGTGTATGTGTGTCTGCCTGTCTCCCTGTCTGCCGGTCTGCCTGTCTGTCTGTCTGTGTTTGTCTGTGTCTGTCTGTGTCTGTAAGGTCGTTCCCTCTCACCCATTTTCTCGTTTTTCAGACTTTTTTTTTGTGTTGGAATCGTGGATTTCTTTTTGTCCGCTTCCTTTCGGCCTCCTCCTTTTGAATCGGGTGCATGCCATCTTTCTCCTCTCCTTTCCCCCTTCTCTCCTGCATGTCTTCCAACCAGTCTCTAAGCTCACCCCTCTTCCACCATCCACGTTCTCTGCCACGCACCCGCATGCATGCTCAGCGTCATACCGCCATCAGACAACAAGTAAAGGTAATGTAAAAAGATAATGTATACATGTCCATATATGAACAGGAGGAAAGCGAAGAGAGCGAGAGAAAGAAAAAGAAAAAAAAACAGAAAAAAAAGAAACAAAACGTGCAAAAGAATTGTTCTGCTTTCGTCATTTCTGCTCCTCCCTCCCTTTGTTTTGTGCTCCTTTGTTCCATCCCCCGTGCTTCTCAGACCTTCACCCAATACGTGTCTCGTCCTTCTTCTTCCTTCGTGTTCGCTCTATCCAGCGCCGTCTATGTTCCCTGCTCACTCGTCGATCACACCTGCCGTCCTCCGCCATTCTCGTCTATTCTCTTCCTTTTATTCATCGTCTCACTTCATCAACGGTCCATTGGCTCCCGCCCCTCCGTTGGGTCCTTTTATTCATTGTCTCACTTCCTCCTCGAACGAATAACTTGTTTGAAAAAAAAAATTGTCCTTCTTATTGACGGCTGTGATTGTTTGGTGCTTGGCATGTCTGTGATTTTTTTTTCATTTTCATTTCTTTTTGTTTTAATTATAAATTCTTTATATTACTTTATTGTCTCTCACTTGACAGGTTGGATGAGAAGCCCAATGAGCCCTGGACGGTCTGGCAGTCTGTGGTAGATTCAATGGGCGTGGCGATGATCGTCCTCATTATGCTCGATTTCTGGAGGATTGGCGTGGGTCCGATTGTTGATATCCCTGGCGTAGCGGAATGTGGTGACTGTGTAAAGCATCACAGCCTCCCTTGGCTTTCATTATAATAATGATAATAATGTAATAAAATATAAGCATGGTTCTCCTTCACTCCTGTAGAGTACATGTGCTTTTGCAGACAGTAACGATTTCTCCAAGTTCTGGTCAGCAACCGAGATATTAACTGATCCAACACATTAACTGGAACACAAATAACATGCGTTATCTGTCCTGGACCTCTCTCTCTCTCTCTCTCTCTCTCTCTCTCTCTCTCTCTCTCTCTCTCTCTCTCTCTCT